CGGGCTTGCAGAGTCTGAGGGAGAGGGAACTGTGCAGGCTGCTCCAACCCTCGGCATCCCTAGGCTGTGTGGCTCTGTCCCGGAAGTGGGCACAATTCTGGATCAGCCAAAATTCATTGCAGCTGCTCAAAAAATGGCGCTTGTTTCTGGGACAGAGCCACGCGGCGTATGGATGCTGTGGAGCAACCTGTTGTCGCGATCTCCGGAGCTTCCAAGAGGTGAGAGATCATGACGGGATGGGGGACGGGTGTGGGACCTGGTGGGGTGGGAAGCAGGCCCAAGATCTGCAGGAACCAAGAGGTGTGGGAAATGAAACATGAGGTGCCTCAGGGTGAGGGAAGCCTTGGGAGGTCCAGGGCAGGTGGGCCTTCACTAGGCCTTCCCCATCCCTGAGACACCCCGTGCTCTGCTTAACAACTGCATTGGGGACTATAAGATGGTTTACAGATGGCATCTCTCTCCGGCCAGATTAGCTAAAATGTATAACGGATATTCATCTATATGTTGGAAATGTAAAAAAGAAAAGGGCACCTTTTTCATGTATGGTGGACATGTAGAGAAGCACAAGTGTACTGGCGTATGGTCTGGGAATGGGCAATAGAAATGACTAGGCAAAACATTCAATACAAACCTGAGGCATTACTATTAGGAATACTAGAGAAAAATGTAAATAAAGAGGACACATATTGAATTATTCACGTGGTCACGGCGGCAAGGATACCATTTGCTCAAAAGTGGAAAGCAATGGAAGTACCGAGTGGGGAAGTACTAATAAAGAAAATTATGTATTGCGCAGAACTAGATAGGATAATTAAAAGATTAAAAAATCAGGAAGAAACAGAATTTTATCGAATATGGAATAAATTTTATAGATGGGGGGGGAGGAAAAAGGAGGTCACAAATAAAGAGATAAGTTAAAATAGAGACCAGAAATGTATAGTTTGTATATAGATATATTATATGTAATTAATGTACAATATGGACTGAGATGTCAGTCAAAGACGATTTACCATGTTCAATGTTTTTAATCCTTTTTTTTTCTTTGTACTCAATAAAAACTTATTTTAAAAAAAAAACAACTGCACTGGGGACAGCAGGAAGTTGCTAAACATGGTGATCACGAGTATCTTGCTTAACAACCGTCCCTAATGAGCAAGTTCTATTACAGCTGAAAGTCGAAGACTACCGGTAAATCAGTAGAAGACTAAAAGACTGATTTGGGAATTAAAAAATCCTGAGGTTTGATTCTCTTTTGGTACTGAATTTACAACTTTGGAAACCCACTCCCTTGACCTATGAAACTATTAATACCACTGAATATCTTACAGTACCCAATTTATATCACAGTAAAGTAACTGAATGTCTTAAGACAGTGGTGGCGAACCTATGGCACGGGTGCCAGAGGCGGCACTCAGAGCCCTCTCTGTGGGCACGCGTGCCGTCGCCCCAGTCCTAGGCCTTCAGCTGGGTTTTATAAAACCTTTTCGCTTTAGGCCTCCACCGCTGTGTACAAAAAAAAAGGTTCAATCAGTCAGTCAATTTCAACTTCTCGTGGGGAAAAAAAAAGATCTTGCAAAGTTGGAATTGATTGAACTTTTTAGTCCCACCCAGTCTGCCGTTACCACTGCAGCCACGCCTACCCAATGGGCCACACCCACCCAATGGGCCACTCCCACCCAATGGGCCACACCCACCCGGCACCCGACGATGCATAAGTGGGTTTTGGGTTGCAGTTTGGGCACTCGGTCTCTAAAAGGTTCGCCATCACTGTCTTAAGAGTTCTAAAGAAAATATTAAGCATTATTTTTAGTAGATCAATGACAGACTTGCCATCCAGGTTTCTAAACACCCTCTGCTAATATGCACCACACATATGGTGACTGAAGACTTTTAAAACATCCTAAAAACCTCCATCCATATTCACTGAGGGTTGTTTTTTTTTGGTATCTGCCTCATTGTTCCAGCCATGAGTCAGCCCATCAGGGCACAGAGAAAGGCAATGAAGCCATTGAGTGAATTCATCCATTCTCAACTTTCCCATTCTTAATGGAAGCCCTAATGGCACACTATTGCAGGCTAACTCTGCCCACAGCCAGGAGTTCAATCCTGATGGACTCAAGGTTGACTCCGCCTTCCATCCTTCCGAAGTCGGTAAAATGAGAACCTAGATTGTTGGGGACAACAGGCTAACATTGTAAACTGCCAGAGAGAATGCTGTAAAGCACTATGGGGTGATATATAAGTGCTATTCTTCTAATATATTGGTTTCAACTCCCAAAATTCTAAGCAATGACCATTCTGTCTAAGGAACATGGGGAATAGAGGTCACATATCTTGCACTGATCTCAGAACCATAAACTATACTTTTTTTCTAATGGTAAAACTAATCCAATGCCAAAGTGGTAAGAGATTCCCTGAACAACCTTTGAGTGTTACAAATTTACAGGAACTATGAATGGCAGTAGAGTTCCAGAACAGGATTATCAAATAACTTTATTTTTTTTAATATATTTTATTATTTTTTTTAACATAATCACCTTAATATCTGGTAAACAGCATGTTGTCTGAGTTTATATTTAAAAACAATCAATAACAATTTCTGTAATTTTATAATCCGCATAGTAGCTTTCCTTGTTTTTCTCTTCTTCCAATAATATTCTCTTTTATCAACCTTAAATTAGTACATTTCTTAATATTTTGATGGATAACAATTGAATATAAACATTTTTCTAGTATTGCTACAAGTAACAACCGCATCAATATGAAGCTTCTTTTCTAACTGATCATCTTAATCGCCTTGTCATAGATCCTGTTTTCAAAGTCCTTATTTAAATTTGTTTTCCCCGCAATGTTCAAAACATTCTTACTTGTTAAGATTTTCTCAGAGTTAATTACACTTAAGTATTTAAATCTTTTTCCTCATACAAGCCATCCCAACAATTTTACATTTCTCATCTTAAAACAAAAAAAGAGAGAAGAAAAAAAAAGAAGGAAATAGTATACTACTGGGGAAACATATCCCTTTTAAGCTAGAATACATTTATGTCCAAATTTTTTCTATTCTTTTTAACTATATTCAAAGAAATGTTTAAACTTTAAATATTCCATCTAATAAATCCAATCATCTAATCTTTTAAAACTGCTCAAAACATTCTTATCAATTGTAATTTTCTCAAAATAATTACACTTAAGTATCTTAAAACATTTCTCTCATATAAATCATCCCAACATTTTTATATTTCTCCTATCATAAAAATCTAGTAACTTTAGCTGATGGAAAACTTTTAAGTCTTCCAACAGAGTATGGTCTTTTCTACCAAGAATCTAAATTAGCAAAGTTCTACTAAACTATGTTTAGATTCCAAAATTGCACTGAGAAAATTTATATTTCATATTGCTATCTGAACAAATGAGTAGTTTCAAAAAAGACACTGGTGGAGTGGGAAAAGAAAGTAGAATGCCTACTATGCAAGAGTATCTCTGTGTGTGTCTATTTGTGTGTCAAAAAGCCAACACTGTGGTTGCAATCATGCAATCAAAGCTCCACTCTTTTTTTATATACGAATTGAATACATGATACATGCAAAAAAAGAGAGGGCTTTGGTCACAGAGTTGTGGCTGCCATCTTTATTTTTTTATCCTTCTCCCACATGTGGCAGGTATGTGGATATTTTCTTCCCACAGCTATTTTGTTTCCAGCCAGATTTACTACTGTTTTCAGAGCATGACTGGGATGTGGAAAGTACTTCAAGAAGCGGGAAAAACAGTTTTGCAGGAGATGAATATTCACAAGGGGAACAAAAAATAACATATAGTAGAAAAGGAAAGAAATCTCTGTTATCCAACTATTCTTACCCCCTCTGCATCAGGATGCTGTTGGAAATTCTGGATTAGAAGCTGTCAAGATTTTTTTCAAATATATTCTTCTATCCAAAGGTAATCGTAATTAAAAGTGAACAAACAAATCCCTTCCTGGGAAAACTTACCTGTTGTATGAAGTAACAGGTATGTTGGCACCGTTTTCTTTCAAGTTAACCTCAGATATGGATCCTTTACACTTTTCTACTGTCTGCATAGTGATAAGAGTATAAAAGATTAATATGGATGCTGCTGCTTGTTTTCAGAACGCTAGGTATTATGGGCAGATGGGTGAAATATAGAAATGAACCTTTCCCCTCATTAGAAGGGCTGGTATTTCACATCATTGTCAGAGGCAAGTGATAACAAGAGAAAGAACTTCGTGTATTTGGGTATCAGTTCTGGAATTTCCTGGCCACAGGAAATGGGTTCACTTGAATTATCATAATTCTTTAGGCAGCAAGCTAGCTTCTAACAGCAATTGTTTACCATGGCTGTGTGGTTGTGGAAACAATGGTATAATGCAAGGAATATAAATCCTTCCATTCCCCCCCC